ATTTTACATTCCCACCAACAGTGTATAAGTGTTCCAGTCTCTCCACAACCTCTCCAGCATTTATTATTTTGTGTTTTTTGGATTAATGCTAGCCTTGCTGGGGTGAGACGGTTATCTCATTGTAGTTCTGATTTGCATTTCTCTCATGGCTAATGATCGTGAGCATTTCTTCACCTGTTAGTTGCCCGAATGTCTTCTTTGGCAGAGTGTCTGTTCATATCCTTTGCCCATTTTTTAATTGGGTTATTTGCCCTTTTGTTGTTGAGGTTTCGCAGAATCTTGTAGATTTTAGAGATAGACACTGATCAGATTTGTCGCAGCCCTAGGCTGCAATCTTTATGGAAGCAAACTGCCCATCCATCTCCCAAGGAGCAGCTGGTGGGTTGGAACCACTAGACCTTTCAGTCAGCAGCAGAGCGTGTTAAGCACTGTGCCACCAGGGCTCCTTAATCTCATCCTACTAACAATAATTGTGTACTATTTTCAAAGTAATTAAATCTTTAGAGTACTTATACGGACAATCGTGACAATTTTAAAAAAAAGGAGAACTGCCCCTACTTTATCATTATCAAAGACTATACGATAAAAACAGAAACACACATACTATTAGAGAACCAGTTGCCACTGAGTTGATTCCTATCGGGCAGAGTACAACTGCACCATAGGGTTTCCAAAGGCTGTGATCTTTACAGAAGCAGACTGCCACAGCTTTCTCCCAAGGAGCGGCTGGCAGGTTCGAACCGCCAACATTTGGGTTAGTAGTTGAGCACTTTAACCCTTGCACCACCAGGGCTCCTGAATGATATACTAAGAGCCTTTAAATCTGTGACAATGAGAATAGTTTTGGACTACAGCCTTACTGGAAAAACTAGTGTAAGTAAGAACCTGTACCTACCTTCTCTCATTATCATCAAGATGTGAAAACAGTACGTTCTTTTCAATGGCTTTGGCTAAAGCAGCCATTGTCTTGTAATCTTTTGGTATAACCTAGAAAAGAACTGAAGGTCAAATGACAATTCCATAAACCAAAAACATTTCATGTTTACAACCTGCATTTCAGTTAAATGTCAAGCTACATTAATGTATTTAAACAAGACTGCTTTGAGTTAAATATTTTCACTACAACACACTTGTATTGTTTTTGATCCACAAAGTACTCAGCAAATATTGATTAATTAATCCCCCTGTCTACAGTCAAACCTGTACTTAAAGGCTAGTATCTGGTTTCCAGTTAACAACTAAAGAAACAAATCAAAAACACTTTTACCAAGGCCATTATTCTACAGCAAAACTAAGTATGACAATTAGTCACTTTTTAAACTGTGATCATGTACTATTAGTTCCACAAGCCTCCAGTGCCAGGACAATTCTGGTCCCCCTTAGAGCTAGTAACATAACTCAAAACGACAGGACAGCTGTGAGAAAGAACAGATTAGGACAAACGAAGGTTACAGGATAAAAGATTTAAAGTCACAAGATGAAGTACAGGATGTCAAAAAACTGACACCATGATTCAAGAGAAAAAGAGGGCTATCTGCTTCTTCTTCTACTGCAATTCAAAGGTATGGAAAAGACAAACTCCCCAAATCCCATTATTTACTGTTTTATAATCACCACTGGTTATTTCTGCTGTGGGCGTGTTATTACAGAAACCTGTTCTACAGTATCAAAGAACTGTACAGGATGGAGTAAGATTCATCCTGTTCGATGTTTTACTTCTTAAAACAGTGCATGCATTCATCACCTGAGACCAGATGACTACCACGTAGGTCCCCAAAACATTTTATCAATGTTTAGGTATCAAACTACCTTTCTAACATAGGATGCAGCATCCTCCTCCGTGTAGACTTCAGCGCTGATAGCACCTCGTCGCCTACGGCCCTTAACCACTGGGTTGGGGGGAGGAGGAGAGATTTCATCCTCCCGTGAGTCTGCACGACTGCTTCCTTTCTGCAGAGTCTGAATCTGTTTTGCCTCCTCCTGAAATTACAGGTTTGTAAAATGAGATCCTTCAGCACTTTACGTAAAGTTAGTATTCTCATTCCAAACACAGTCCATCTCAGTCACTTCAAATCTCTTCCTCTATGACCAGTTTGAAAGTTAAGGGTTTTTTAAAAACCAATTCCAAAAGGAAAAAATTGTGGAGAGTGAAGTTTGAAAAGATATGCTCTCAAAGGGTTATAGTGTTTCCTCTGATGATAACAGCGGCTATAGTTTATTAATGAACAAAAGTCATTAGTATAAAGACGTGTCGTGCAGGTAAAAAACAAGATACATAAAGTAATAACATACTGACAATAATCTGTAACGCATGTAACACTAATAAACTGCAAAAAAAAATCCTGGTGAATCAGGACTTTTTATGCTGCTGCAGATCATAAAAGAACCTCTCATCCCAAGAAGAATGTTATCCAGGAACAATTCAGACACAGCAAATGATCAAAGACTGTCTAGATTACTGGGTTTATTCATTAATTCAACAAGCATTCCCTGGATCTGCCATGCCAAGTCCTACGCTAGGCAATGGGAATATACAAACAGGAGAGGCTCCTGAGCCTGGGGAGTTCCCAGTCTAGGTGGGGTCCAGGGCATACCAAATAATTAAACAATGTGATGGCAACCGAGAATTTAAATAATAAATAAGATCAGATCTGACAGTACTTCTCCCAGCAGAGCTAGCAGCATTCTTTTATCAGGGCTCATATCCGAAGTTAAAACAAAAAACAGTTTACCTGTTTTTTAAAACTTCTTATTGAACCAATTTATATAAAATCTGAAACGAAGTATTAAATATTTTTATTTTTCAAACACAGGGCCTTAAAAAGAAATTCGCCTCAGACCTGCACTAAAGAACGAGTTTGTCAAACCTGAAATGAGAGAAAAAAGAAGGCACTGTCTGCCACTTTCATCTGGCCCGTTCTCCATCATGTTTTTAAATTTCTTTCCAATTCTAAATGAATTTAACATTTATCAACTATTTTAGGATCGATTTTGATAAAAAAGAAATAAAAGAGATGTCCACCCTTTTTTTTTTTCCTGCATGGTATTCAGCCCTGCTTTTGGCATCAAAATAAAATTAAGAACTCTATGGAGCAAGAAAAGTTTAGAAAGATAATCATCAAATTGTTAACAGTTTTCATTTCTATTAGTAGAATCATGCGTGATTTTTATTTGCTTTTTGCAGAAGGGTCTATCTTTATTTTTCTCATTTCTCCGGATTTTGTAGTTTTCAATTAAGAAAAACACAGTAAGAAAAATACGTTAACAAAAATGACTTTAATTTTTCACTGATATTTAATGATAAACACATTTACTTCTTGATCCAGTAATTCTTCTTCCGGGAATCTATTCTATGATACGCATCGGTATGAAATGACACACATATGAAATTATTCACTGTGTAATTGCTTTTAACAGTAAAACACTGGAAACAACCTAAACGGCCATCAATAGGGATGATTAAATAAATTACAGGACATCTACATAATAGAATGCCAAGCAGATGTTACAAGAGTTAAGGGAGCTCTTTTATTATGAAATTGTAAATGCATAAATTATCTCTGGAACACTCATTGCATTCAAGGAGGGCATCAGGGTGGGAAAGAGATTTTCACTGTTACACCATGTTGAACGTGCAGCATTTTGAACCATGTGTGAATATGCAACCTATTAAAAAAAAACAATACATTTCTTAGAAAACCTGCTTCATTTTCATTCTGGTATTCAAATAACCAATAAGGTTCTCCCATTCCGTATTAACACAAAACTATGTAACTCAAGTCTCCCCAAAGACTAGAAGTATAAATGAAAAGACAAATGCTTCGCCCCAAAATCTGTTACTGGCATATCACAAAAATTTCATGAAAATTTCAAATAACATCTCATTTGGGACTGTATTCTACCTAACTGAATTTTTAAGATAATTCTGACATATCAAAAACATTTTGATTTTAACATTTGTCATGAATTTCAGTCTTTTTAAACAGCACTCTGAACAGAGCCTTAACCTAACAACTCATGGCCATTACTAATCATCCTTTTCTAACATGTACTATGATCCATTTTTCTATCCTTTCTCTTGCTGTTGTCATTCTGCTGTCAATCCCTTCCTTCTTCCACTTTCAATTATTAAAGCAAAAATAAAATACCAGTCTACTTAGTGGTTAACAGCATTATGTCCTAGAATCGTAGGTTCAAAATCTGTCCCCACCACTCAACGTTTTCACAATTATTCACTCCTTCACTGTCCTTGCCATTCTTCCCTGTAAACTTCCCATCCCACTGATTTTGAGTTTGGTCATGTGACTTGCTTTGGCCATGGAATGTAAGAGGGCATGTCACACCATATCCATTTGTGCAGTTTATCCCCCTTCCCACCCCCCGCCCCTTAGCTTCTATCCTCTGCCTTGAAAACGGCGTGCCCTAAATTTATATAGTAGCTGCTCTTTCCATTTTGGCGCCAGAACAAGACAGGTTGAGTCACAAAGACAAGACGGATGAGCCCAGCAGAGCTGCATATGACCAAGGAATAACAGTCTGTTGTAGTAAGTCACTGAAATTTGGGGGTTATATTCTGCTGCAGCCAAAGCTGACTACTACACTTAATTTCATTACTTAATTTTGCTTCCTCTGTAAAATGGTGGTAATCATCTACCTTGTATATCTGACATAATGAGTTAATGAATGTAGAGGGCTTCGTACCGTATTTGTCACATACTAGACACTCAATGGTCACAGCGGTCATTAATTCCTCTGACCTGATATATCAGACAGGCAAGATTCTTTTATACATACTATATATATATGTAAAAGACAACTCCAATTCCAGGTGACAGTCTGAAACGCAGAAGCTTTCAATGAACCAAATGTGAGAGTTTTTGGTGCATTTCTTACTGAGTGGCTGAAGGTACCCGAAATATGACCTCTTATAATGGTGAAGAAGTGAAGAATACTGACTTTGAATATAACTGTATTTTCAGACATATAAACCTGACATCTAACGAATAGAACAATAACCTATTAAAAGGTTGAAAATCTAGAATTTACTTCAAAGGCCAGGTATCTATATTTAATTATAGCTAAACAAGTGGGCTCAAGTGAACAAAGACCCCTGGATTATAGGAAAAAGTTTAAGCTGTGAGACTTTTAAAAGGTGGTAAGAAGCCAATACACATTAAATCTAAAAATCTCGTTTGCAAGGAAACTAGTAATTATTTCTTGCTTTCAAATTTCGTTAAAGCTTAAGCAGTGCTATATAGTAAGTACAGGCTTTGAAGCTAGCACCACTCATTCAACACTCCCTATAAAAAGACACACACTTAATGTCTCACCAACTTTATCTCCTCATTTGATGGTTTGTATCGATGTCCAAAGAGAAGAGGGATCATCTTACAGTGACCCATTTCAGAACCAGATCTCCAGGAATGCACTTTATTTCAAAACAGGGAACACCAACAGGCCTGCCTCTACAGTACTTTTCACTAACTATATGGAAATTGTTTAAATAAAAGAATGTCAGAATTTCTACTAAAATTCCAAGATAGGAAAATTCATGGGGACTAGTTGTTGTTTTTTTTTTAATTACTCTAATGACAGTATTAAACACGAATTTTAGCAAAGAACTTTTCAAGAAAATATCTGAGTTACCCCTTTTTTTTAGTGTACACAGACTTTTTCTAATAAACTCTGATTAAGAAATTCTCTGAGTCAATGGAAAATTTACATATATTTCTATTATGTAATTAAAAACACTTAATGATTATACACCTGAGAAAGTTTCCCCCAATTAGTTCCCAATCATTATGAACCACCTCTAAACTTCGATATGCACAAGAAAATCCGTAAATTTATTCTGCTGATTTAAAGTAGCAAATCGATCAAAACTACTCAAGCTACACTTAGCAATCTACGCTTTTTCATTCATCATGTCTTAAGCTGAGGTAAACTGAAGCACTGCCCTTGATGGAAAATTATCATTTTGCTTAAAAAAGCATGTACCATATACTTAGGTCCCACTGACATACACAATGAAAATGAATAACAAAGACTAAAAACTGGATTAATTTCTCCCAATGGGAAAAAAAATCCTGACCAAAACTGCTTATCAAGCTTACTTGCTTTGTCAAAGAGACAAGCATCACCTCCTTTCATCAGAATTTCTCATTTCATCTAATCGCTGTACACTTCTGATCAATTTTACCTGTAAGAGTCAATTTTACATATTAATTACAACAGTTACAAGGAATTTTGTTTGGAAACCCTTTGTTAGCCAACTAAACTTAGCAAATAAATTCATTTTCTGATAAATTCTGATTAAAAATTTAAATATTATTGTAAATGCCTTAACTACATTTCTCTTTTAAACTGTTTTAGACGTTTTATTTGGTCAGAATTCTTCTTCCCTCAAAAGGTACGAATTAACAACATTTTACTCCAGTACACTTAACAATGGTCAGGGTCATCTCATCACCTCCCCACATTTATTTTTACCTTCTCCAACCTCTCAAAGTATTCCCGCAGGAATGCCATGGGCCTCTCGGGTCGCGCAGTGCACAACTGCACAATAGAATCCTTGAGTAGCGCCTGAATGTTGTGCTTCTGGACATAGAGCTCACATTCCCGGAGGCTACGCTCCTCCTCACTGGCGGCAGGGCTGCCGGACGCCATGGTTTTCTCTACAAGAAAAAACAGACATACGCTGTGTACACTATTTCTAATAGGCAAGCACCAATCTGACCTCTGACTTACCAAATTCATTAGGCAACAGATTCACAGAGATTTTTTTTTTTTTTTTAAGGGGAAGGTGGGCCCTAGGGAGTAAAATACGGAGCATTCTTCCAAAAAGTGTTTCATTTAGTTTATACAGCAGGATCTAGACTCTGTAGGCAGCAACAGTGAAAGGCAAAAACCCTCAGCTCCTGGTAGGAAGTATGAGCCACTATCCCCTGCAGAGGCGGGCTGCTGAGAAGTCAAGCCCTAAAGGGAATTTCATTCACTTCTCCCCTGCAAAAGACATCATCATGACGTGGGAAGTGTAAATGGTAAACAGGGCAGAGAGTTACAAGGGCACACAAGTCAGCTATAAGTAAAAGCAAGTAAACACAATGACGACCATCTGAAATTCCCTATACGTAACTCCTGTCCCATGGGGATGTCCTAATGTTACACAGCAAACCACTGGAGCGAAGAATCTGATTAGCCAACTACTAATCAAAAATTTAAAAAACACAAAAGGAACTCCAAAAAAGTTTTAAAAGCAATCTTTTATTCTAGAATCAATCACTTACCAGATTCTAGCCCTAAATAACAACACACTTAGCCAGTGGTAAAAGAGGAAAGATCTTAAGCAATTAACAGTAGAAGATAAAACCATTTCCCCTTCACTGTGCAACCGAAGTCATTACTAACCAGACTTTTCCAATTATAACACACACAGAACCATGGAGATAAAACTCTAAATGCAAAAGGTGAGAAAAAGAAATGCCAGGATAAAGAGCTATTCTAAAGTGATAAAGAGCTATTCTAAAGTGATAAAGAGCTATTCTAAAGTGATACACTGTTACTCATTTTCTTTTGACAACTTTCATGATAAAGGTCAGTAACAGCAGACTAATTAACAGACCCTGAGAAAGTCTGGCTCCCTGACAAGCACATAAATTAGAGGCCATGGAAAAACAATCATGCTGCTATTTCAGAAACAAGCACTCAAAAAAAAAAAAGAAAGAAAGAAAAAAGTTTATTTACTTTAAGATAGATTTATACCAGTCACTTTTCCAGGTCAGTCAATCACATGAACAGATACATTCAGTAGAATTTTATGCATTTCCAATAATACTGAAGGCCACCAAAAACGATGATAAATCAGATCTTTTTGCTTCAAAACATTCAGACATATTTCAGAAATATCAATACAACTATTCAGCTGATCCGAGAAATTGTTCAAAGAGCACGTCCTTGGCTGGTAGACATGAAAGAATTGGCTCCAAGAGGCGAGACTGTTTTTATTTGAAGTAATTATTTAAAAGACCAAAAAAACACTGGCAATAATATATGAATAAAAATTCCCCAGGATTAATGCAATCATAAAGTGAATCCCTGAATTCCACCATCTTAATGTCTGACTATCTTTGGATTAGCCCTGTATTTATACCTCTTTTTAAAAACCCCCAACGACTTAGCTTTCCCCTCATAATTATTTAACTACAATAAAAATTACACTGTATTGTCTCTAGCCATAGGGAAACACTCATACTCTTTCTTTTGGAAATCAGTTGGAATAAAACCCAATGTCAAAAGGATTACACACAAGGAAACATTTAAATATTCTGAGAAACTTCCTGATTCAGACCGCACCCCCTCAGACGGGCCAAGTAACACTTCGTTGGGGTCATCTCTCGAGGTGTCACCTTTCCTTCCTCTGCTGAGAAGATGTCTCTCTTGAGAATCTCTCAAGTAGTAAGTCATTCGGCACCACACAAGCACTGCGCTGGAGGAGTAATACTTATCGCGTCTTGTCGAAGGGAAGAACAAGAAAGTGTCCTTCACTTGGCTTATGCCACGGTCATGGCCACAAAATGAAGGGAGGCCGACCCCTCCTCCTACTCTAGCCAGGAGGCCAAGGGGGAGGAGAGCATCAGGAAAGGGAAGTGAACGGGGGCAAAAAGAAATTTAGGAGCCAGGCTAAAATCATCGTGTGGGGGGAAACGCTCCCGGAAGGCCGGGGAAAACGACGGCTGGAAATGACAGGAACGACAAGGAAAGGAAAAGAACTGCAGGGCCTCAAGACCAGCCAGAACCGCGAGAGCAACGACGGCAGATTCCACTAAAATCGAGCTGCTGTCCTTCAGGAAATGGGGGAGGGCGAGCGCGGACGCCGCGGCGCGCGAGGGCGGAGGCGGCTGGGGTGCGGAGGGCCGGGAAGGCCGCGGGGAACGCGCGGGCGGCGGGGGCGGGGCCGCCGGGAAGCCCCGTACCGGAGCTGACGCCCCGGCGACATGAAAGCGTAGAGGGTCTGCAGACCCGGAGCAGGGGCACGGCCAGGGGAGCGGGGCCTGCAGGGAGGCGCCGGTCGAGGCCAGGGAGGGGCAGGGGGTGCGGCCGTCCCCTGCAGGTCGCTCCCCGAAACGCCATCTTGGATCGGTCCAGCGTCCCAGAAGGGGCTGCGGAGCAGAGAAACTCACCGCCCCGGGCCCCCCGGCCGACTCCACTCACCTGGGGACGGACGGCGGCGGGCACGGGACTGCAGGTGCGAGGCTGCGGCGTGCTGAGCTCCCTCAGCGCTTCCCTCCCAGCCCGGCTCCACTGAGCGATAGCGGCTTGGCGGCGGCTCCACCGGAAACGACCGGCCACAGCCAATCAGCGCTCGGCTGCTGACGTCAAAGCGCCTCGCTCTGGCCAGAGCCGTCGCCTTGGCAACCTTAAAGGCGCAGCAGCCCTATTCGCCCCGCCCGCCCTCCCCCACTCCTTGAGGAGCACTCGCCTCTACTCATCCTAAAATTGTCTCCAGCTTTTCTTTCTGTTTTACAGCGTCCCGGTTCTGCAGCCCTTTTCTTACTTCCACCTCTTCTTCTTTCCCCATGCTCTCTAGCACCGTTCTTCCCTCCTTCCTGTTCACCTGCCCTTCCTTACCTGTCCTTTTTTGGATGTCTCCGGTCTCCTTTATTCGTTCTTCTGCACCTCGCTTCCTCTCTGCGCGGCTCTGGTGCGCTTCCCTCTCTCCTCTTCTCCTTTCCTCTCCTCCCCGCTCTCACTCCGGCCTCCCTCGACGCCTCTGCCTTTTCTCCCTCCCTTTCGCCCCCCAGACAGCCCACGTGGGTTGTCTCGGATGACAGATGGGCGACTCCGCCCCGCGGCCCCTGCAGGGGAGGATGTGGGGCCGGGGGCAGGGAGATTCCTGCGGCTTCCAGGCCCCGGACGAGGCGGCGGTCCGGGCGGATCCGCTGCAGCTGCGCCGCGGGCCGAACGCGGGCGGATGCCCAGCATGCGCACGCCTGGCCGCGTATCCTGCGCAGGGCCAGCGCCGCACCGGGTTCCAGGCTCGCGCCGCCATCCGGTCCAGGAAATGTGAGCCCCTGACAAGACTCTGCTTGGCCGTCCAAGTCGCTCTCCCCTCTGGGGATGCTGTCGTCAGTGGAGGCCACACCGTCCCCATGGGCACAAGACACTGGAAGGGACTTTCTCAGGGCCCTAGAGGAGCTCGAGTCCTTCTAGAATCCGAAATACTCCCCCCTATCATCCTGACTGACCCCGCATGGTAAGAAATGGAGAACCATGCAGATTGTCATAAACGCTCTATAACCCCACAAGAAATGTAGGCTGTCTGCAAAAACTGCGCTAGTGGCGGAAACTCGGGCAAAAATCGACTTCTTTAGCCCTTCAGCCATTTCTTCCCATCAGAATATCTGATGGGGACAGTTTTAGACGTGTAAGATCGCTAAATGAGTAAAGAAGGCCCTTCAAGGATGTGTATCCAAGCGTCTGGTCAGTGGCTCTTGTACGCACATCCTATATAGCTCTAGGGCTTGTATGTGTAAAATGCACAAAGGATTTAACAATACAAAAAAAGAAAGGATGTGAAATAGTTCAATAATTTTTATATTGATCACAGGTTGCAATGCTAATATTTGGGACATACTAGGTTAAATATTGTTAAAAATTAATTCACCTTTGTTGTTTACTTTTTTGATGTAGCTATTAGAACATTTTGAAGGAACCCTGGCGGCGCAGTGGTCAAGCTCTGGGCTGCTGACCAAAAGGTTGGCAGTTCAAACCCTCCAGCTGCTAACCAAAAGGTCAGCAATTCAAACCTTCCAGCCACCTTGTGGGAGAAAGATGTGGCAGTAGGCTTTCATAAAGATTTACAGCCTTGGAAACCCAATGGGGCAGTTCTACCCTGTCCTATAGGGTCACTATGAGTCAGAATCCACTCCATGGCATCAGGTTTGGTTTTTTATTAGGACATTTTAAATATAACAGGGCTCACGTTATATTCCTGTTGGACAACACTGCCTTAGGGATCCAACTGCTCCCCTAAATCCACCAGGCTATGATGAGGGTCCTGCTCGTCAGGGTACTTATTTTATTTAATTATGGTTATCCCTTGCTTTCTGCTAGTCAGAGGAAGCAAACGCAACATCAGACAGCTGACTAGGCCCATGCGTGGGAAGGTAGAAGAAAAGTTTCTCCTCCCACCGACCCTCCACGTGTTGACCATTGGCCTATTTCCAGGGACAGATTGGGCCGAATGAGGGATTAAAGACAGAGCCTCAGTCATATAAGATTTCACCCTTGTCAGTACAAAGAAGTGGCTGATAAACTGAACCCTTAGCTGGCAAGCAACAGAGGGAATTCGATAGCATTGAGCAGGCCAAGTCATGTTCTGGGAAGAAAACCTTGCTGTCAGATAAATCTGAGTTTGGTTTCAGGCTCTGCCACCTCCGGTAATGGACTTAATCTCCATGAGCCTCAGTTTCTTTAGTTGTTAAAGGGTAAGCAGAGCTGCACTGAAATTAACTAATAGAGATAATAACGGCAAACACATATACAGCACTTACTAAGTTCCAGGCACTAAGTGTTTTATACATAATAAATTTAATCTTCTTAATAACTCTCTGACGTAGGTAATAGTATTATTATTGTTATTGTTATAGAAGGAAAAGGAGGCACAGAGAAGTAAAGTGACTTTCCCAAGGCCACACAGCTAGTGGGGTTCACACCCAGGCAGTAATCTTAATAACGCTCCTTGGCAGTATACACATAAAGTTCCCAGCATAGTATGTTGTTGTCATTAGGTGCCCTCAAGTCGATTCAGACACATAGTGACCCTGTGTGACAATAAAACTGCCCCATAGGGTTTCCTAGGCCGTCATTATCTTCACGGGAGCAGGTCTTTCTCACTGGGAGCCACTGGTGGGTTTGCTGAGTGCTTAACCATTGGGCCACCCGGGCTCCTTCAGCATAGCATGGGATGCATTAAATAAATGTTAGCTTACTTTCTGTTTCTCTTTCCCCTTCCTAAAGAGCTACCCAAAATACAAGTTGTCTTGTGTCCCCCCATTAGTGTTACCTTCCTAAGGCACTCAGGCACTTAGAACAAGGAAACAAGCTAGCTGGTGACATTGAGCCCAGCGCTTTGAGTAGCAGCTGCTTCCTTGCTCGGGCCTGCGTGTGTCCCCATTCAGCTGCATTCAGGCACCAGGCCAGCCACGGGCCGTTTCCTGTGTCAGCCGGCATAACCTTGTTCTAGCTGCCAAATCCTCATATGTTGGGGCTTCAAAAGACAAAAAGGGAAATGGGCAGCAGGTTGTTGAGCCTGGGGAGAATTCACTGAGACAGCTGTTCGGAAGAGCCAAACAGCCTCAGTGGTTTCCAAATGGTGCAAATACTCTTTCAGAGCCGCTGTGCTACTGGGAGAAAAAGACCGACTTGTAAATTACATTTCAGAAAGGACCCATGTTCCACTGTAGTTTCCATGTGGTGTCCTCTTCTCCAGAGACCCTCTGCCCTTGATCCAAAGGTCTGCCAGCCTTACCTTTGGCCTGTGTCCTGTTGTTGGTGGGTGCCATCGAGTCAATCTCGACTCATAGCGACCCCACGTCACAGAATAGAACTGCCCCATAGGATTTCCTAGGCTGCAATCTTTACCAGAGCAGATTGCTAGGTCTTTTCTCCTGAGGAGCCACTGAGTGGATTCGAACCACCGACCTTTTGGTTAATAGCCGAGCACTTAACCCCAAGGGCTCTTTGGCCTGTGTCCTAGAAACACTCAAAAAATAGGTTTCTAGAGTAGTAGGATTGTAAGTACATTTATCTCTTTAAAACAAAATTCCTTAATTGCTGTGATAATGTTTGTGCAGCAACAGCAAAAATTTTCTAAAGAAAAATAAATATCAGTGGTACATTTAGTAAGCAGAAGTACCACTAAGAGAACTGAAATGTAAAAGGAAGGAATATTCCAGTGACCCACTTCTTAGTGGTCATGTTTAAAGCTTCCATTGGTTAAGGACAGATCCACATATTCCATATTTTGAACATTGTTCCCAATTGGCACAGCACCAAGCTTGCTTCTCATGCCCTCTCAGAAGTTCAGTGAGTGCCACAATATACTTTCAATAAACTCCTTTCCTGCTCAGTCATCTAGAGTTTGTTTCTTTGCTTACAGATAAGAATTCTGGCTGATATAAATCCCTTATCCTGTCTTGTTAGTTGCCATCGACTCATGGCAACCCGGTGTGTGCAGAGTAAAACTGCTCCATAGGGTTTTCAAGGCTGTGACCTTTTGGAAGCAGATCGCCAGGCCTGTCTACCAAGCACCTCTGGGTGGGTTCGAACCGCCAGTCGTTTGGCTGGAAGTCAAGCACTTTACCATTTGTGCCACCCAGGGACCTTATCTTGTCCTGGAAAATAATATTATAAACATCTCTAGGAGATGACCTATTAGCTGATGTACCATCTGCATGTCATCCAAGAAGCAAAGACCATGAGAGGGTGACCATGGTCATGGTCAGTCAGTGGCAAGTCACAACTGCGTGGAGAGCCCTGACTGGCTGGCCACAGCCTTACCAACCCTGGTCCACCAGCCTGATGGTGCCAGCCTGGAGCAGCAACTCTGGTCAGTGGT